TTGCATTGTGAGATGTTTCTATTATTTGGCCTACCCTCATAAATGGGATGGACAAAATAAAAGCCCCTCTCAGTTAAATAGCACTACAAACTACATCTTCCAAAATGATTCAGTGGAAGGCAGAAAGTTGATAAATATACATACACTTACACACAAACATCATATGCAATTGATGCATGAGCAATTGGTTTGATTTTCAGGTGACAGTTCAAGAGTGATCATAGGAAACAGATGGACATTGAAACTGGACAAAGATGTAAAAAATAATCTAACCATATTGCAATTTCCTCATTTCACCTGTCTCTAGCCTTTCACTATTTTGTGGTAGGCACTAAGGACACCATTTTTATATATAGATGCAATTACACACACCAGCTACGTTTATTAGTTATTGTATGCAATTCACTGCAACACTTCTGCCTCAACAACTGTGTTTATGAAACTCAGTTAAGTTTATTGATCATAGTTAAAGGCGGTGTACTGGACTACATTATATTTAGAGGTGTTCTTAATATTCTGACCTTCACATGTATGTGGTTGGGGAGGACAAATATAGAGGCATTCACTGTTTTATCAGGTCCTATTTCTTATGTGCATTTCACTACTATACTGTGAAGGCAGACTATCTCACAAAGGAAAAAATGGCTTGAAATTTTTTCAAAACATATAATCAGCTTTCATAACTTATCCCACACTGGACGCTATATGACGTGTTCTGGTATTAGAAAAATCTTTTTATTTCATTAACATATAGCTCGTGTTCTTTATACAGCTACAGAAATGCATTATCACTGAATTTTATAGTCAGCTGCTACAGTTCTTAGACTGAAATAATGGAGTGACCTGAGGTGGTGGACCTGTGGTAATCTGGTCAACTGAAAACACTTTTTATCGGCCTCAGCTTAGTAGCTTGGTCAGGAGGGTTAAATTTGAGAGGGTTCATTTCAACAGCCTGGGGATCCAGGACAGAAACACCCTTTGCCAAAACCGTTGTGTCCAGCCTCACAAACCCAGAAGAGACAATCCCTTCCTTTCTACGTCTAGACGGAGATTTCCTCAGAAAAACATCTGCCTCATTTATTTTCTGAAACATTGCTGGTTGATCCTTTGAGCTGGTTAGTGGCTTCGGTGATGTTACTGTCCACTCAGTTTGCTGCTGGTTATATTTTGGTTTCAGTTTGGATAGTCCACTTGTTTTCTTGGGTATTGTGCTGCTGTTATCCACAATCTCATACTGAGGAAAGACAATGTGTCGAGGCAGACTGGAAGGGTCAAGCCTTGGTATGGGTTTGTAGGCCTTGGCCTGATAAAATGGCTCAGGCATATGGTTATAAATGGAATATGCCCTATTTTTACCCTCTATTGCCACATCCTTTGGTTTTGCTGAACAGGACAGTGATGGCAGGAGTTTGCCCAGAACAGGCTTCGGAGGTAAATTAACCTGCTGCTTCTTCTTTCCAACAATTTTTGTTGGGGGCTGAGGAGTAACTTTATAGTACTTGTCAGGGACAGGCCTCATGGGACTTGTTTCCTTTTGAGATTGCTTTAGAGAGGTGCTTGTTTGGGCTGTACCATCACATTGCTGGTTGACTGCTGGTTCTGTTTGTACCGGGTCAGGCTTCTGTTAGAGAGATGGAAATATAGACATACTTTTAGATATAGACAGAAAACTTCTAAGTTGAAATTTGAAGACTTTCAGATAAGACATTAAGAATACCTGTTGTGTGGTGTGGGGGGATTGAGGGGTAGCATTCACAACAGGCACACATCCTTCAGCCCAGGAATCTAAGGTTGATGGCAAAGGCTCTGAGTCTTCTGTTTTAGATGCTTCCTCTGGTTCTTCTCCTTCATCTAGGCATAGGATTTGCTGCTCTAGAATCCGTGTGAGGTAGCTCTTAGCCCAGCATACAGAGAAAGGTGCTAGCTTAAGGGCAAAGACAGGCAACAGCATGGATGTTATACTGTATGTACGTGATTTGTGGATGAAAGGAAGGTAAAGAAAAATCTTTCTGGAGTGGCAATAGTAAGATGTTCACATTGAAGTAAAATCAACATAAAATGCATATATGCCTTTCTATTTTACCTGTCTTTCAAGGTACACCTTGAAACAGCCTTCCATGACCTTGCGCAAAAGTTCATCCATGATCTCCCCCACTGTGTCTTCTGCATCCTCCTGCATTAACATGTCCCTCCACTGTGTCCGAGTTAAGCGACCAGGGATAATATCTTCCACTTCCAGCTCCTGCACTGGAGGTGTAGTCACTTGGGCAGGCAACATAACTTTATGCTTGTCAGCCTGAGACTTGGCTGCAGAATGGGCCATCTCTGCTCAGAGGCTGGTGTGTAATTTCAAACACAAATCAAAAAAAAAAAATCTGACAGAATTACAAGCCAGAAAGGTTTGATATATTTACTGGATAAATAAATAAACAAACATAGCACAATATCAGTCCATACTAGTTGGCATATACTATAAAATGTTATAGCTACAGTAAACATTATCACACACTGATGGATATGATCAAACTTGACAGTTTTTATTTCATGGGAACTTTCATATAAAACTATCATAACCAATGTGTGTTTCGTTTGAAAAACAATCGTCCGAGGCAAACAAACAATGTGTGCATACAGCGCAAAAAATATTGTGGAGTTACACTTTTAAGTTCCGCGCAGTGTTTTGAAAGCAGTTTTGAAAACAATGGTAACTTGCGTAATTTGGCGTAGTTAAAATGGCTCCACATAAACATTCGACCGCAACACCAGTTTATAGGTTAGTGGTTACGTTTTACGAGCAATGTTTGAAACCTTACCTTATAGCTTATTTTGAGTCCTCTACTTTCGTGTGGACTGCGGGTGCTCAGCAACCGAGCCCTCAAGGATGACGTAATACGTAGAGGTGGCGTTGTCTCTATGGCTGCGGAGGACGCGGAGGTAACGCTAATCTTATTGCTAACATTAGCTAGGAAGGTGCTTCGTTCGTGTTAATTTTGATTGACTGGCAGAGCCAACTGTCTAATCTTAGGCAATTTCATCTACAAAACCAGTGTGTCCTCTTTTACTTAAGCAGCTTTATTGCAGTTAGGATTTCTTTAACACACCTATCTTGTTGCTAATGTCTAGTAGCTAGCGCTATGATTTAGCATCGCAATTTACTGCCAAATAGAGGTAAGTGTTTATAGAAACTGCTAACTTAACCTAACCATGTTCTAATGGTGATGATATTTTCTTCTCTTAGATTGACAGCAGATCATCCACTTCCATTTCAGCAGACTGCGGTGTTTGAAAGAGAACTCTGCAAGATGTATCACAAAGAAAAGAGCATTCAGATCAAAAACAGCGCCTCGGCACTGTACAACAACCTGAGTGTGTTGCGCATCGCCCCGCGGCGCCTCACCTATTTCACTGTGGTCCATGCTAACGTGGTCAACATGGTCAGCGCGTCCTGGGACGGTCTCAACTACTCCCACCGTCAGCTGCAGTCCAAGGAGCCCAATGTCGCCACAAGCACATCTCTCATCATGCAGGTCAGGCCACTATGCAATGTCTGCATTTGTTTTTATGGTCTTCCACTTGTTATTTTTCAGTATGAGAGCAGAATATTATTCTAGTCCTCGAGGAACTTGCACTGGATGTCCAGTAAGATAAAAGCAAAACGTTCCCTTTTATATTCTTTGCATTTATTTTTTAGTATTCATTATTGTTTTTATTGTATGTGCAAATTTTCAGCCAGATGAACTGTGGCCCTACTTTTACAGTCTCTCAGGTTTAGACGAGAGAAAGTATGCTGTCATAAATTTAGATAAACCTGTCATACAGTGAAGTTTGTTTGATTTAGAATCATTTATCAGCTTGTGAGTCATGGGTATCTGCAGACACTTAGAATCTTTCTTTTTTGATGCTAAACCAATACACATACTACCTTCTTGGGAGTGAACAATTAAACACACCCCATCTATTCTAGTATATGTATAGGCATATCTCACTGTCAGCCATTTCTTACCTGCACAGAGCAAAAATGCAGGACTGACTATAAAACACACTGACTGCCTCAATCACTGCCCTGCTGCAGAGTTATAAAATTGTCATACTCATGTTCGCTGTTTAATTTTCACTCCAATGTGCTAGAGTAAAGCACAGTTCCCATCTCCCAACCAGTTAGTTTATGTAAAAAACAACATTGTTTATTTGGTTGCTGACAAATATGAAATGATTAGTTTTACTGTTAACAAATTTTGTCTATATTGCTGGCACACTGTATTTCACAGTATCATAATAAATAAATAAATACAGTTTTTTTCTTTTAACAGGTTGCATTTTGTGTTCTGCCCTCTCGTGATTTGCTGGTGGTGACCTCCCAGAAGGGCATCCAGGTGAGTATGTGCATGTGTTTGCTCTAGTCTGTGGTCAGTGGCAATCACCATTTTTGGTGGCTGTGGTTGTCTCTTATGATTATGCTGTAGTCTAGCCTGTGCCATTGAGTATTTTTAAAATGTGAACCTAAACAAATGTATTCAAGTATATGTTCTTGGGCCCTTTTACTTACATTCATGCAAATCCATTGCATTAGATTTATGAATCTGATGGGTCCATAATGGTGTACTGGCATGCACTGGATACTTCAGATGCACCTACAGGTAAACTTACAACCGTGGACTTGCTACACATGTAGGCACTCCAAGAGTTACTTGTCTCAATTAGTTGCATGAAAACTTTGAAATGACTGACTTTATTATATGATGCTATACAGTAAGCTGTAACACAGTTTGATATGATACAGTAAAATATGACAAGTGTTGTTCCTGGAAATGTGTCAGCGCAGCACAGGTGATCCATCTTCATAACACAAGCGTAATTACAAACACCGGTGGGTGGACCTGATTACTACATGTGTAATCAAAAACAATTTTCAGGCATTTACACCCACATTATTACTATATACAGTATCTTCACAGTCACAAATGCTAGTGATAACGGTGTACATGTGAACAATGTTTTTCCACTATGTCATGTTTACTTGGATAGTGCAGCTTTGTTTGCTTGCACATTTAAAACCCTGTTCATATATGCATATTTGTGCAACCACACATTTGTTTTTTAAGAGAAAATTATTAATCCGGAGTTTTATACCAAATCTAGCGTACTCACAAAACTTATTTATGTCCCAGCTCAGGCTGTGTTTGCTCGAGGAATATCAGCCGTGTGGGATAATTATATATGTGTGGGTGAGTACTGAGTGAAATATGTTCACCTTAGTTATGTATATACAAAATACAGAGTGAACATTTACAGTCTACTGAGCTTTGTCCTCTCTCTAGGTGTATCCTCTGGGGCAATTCTAGTATTTGATGTTCCCAGTAAAGGTAGTAATATAACCCTGTCGGAGGTCCTGGAGGAGCACAAGGAGCCTATCACTGACATAGCCTCGGAGTGCTCTGGCAGCCAGGTACGTGTGGGTGCTTGCTCAGTATGTGCATTGTCTCTTTGTATGAACTTTTGTTGATATAGGATAGCTCTAACTTCTCCATGAAAGACATACTCCATAAATAAATTGCTGCTTTATATAATACTCATAGGAACTACAACTCTTGTATGAATTACCTAATTCCTTCCATGTTGTTGCTGTGTCCCCCCTGTCAGGAGTGCATAGCTGATCTGGTCAGTGCAGATGATGGAGGCAATCTGTGTGTATGGAAGTCTGGCAAGGAATTTCAGCTGCTCAATAAGATCCCTGGCTTTGAGTGAGAATCTGATTGCGTTTAGTCATTGTTTCTATAAAACTGAGCTAAAGCAAAGTGTTGCAATGACAGGCAACAGTGACAGAGTAACCTGTGGTCCAACTCCTCTTCATACATTATTGTAGTTATCTACTCTAATTTTTGTTCCTTTTCACTGTTCTTTGTTTCTTCCTCATTTCCTTTCCTCAGTCTAATCAAATGCCCATTATTATTTCCCTTTATTCTCTCACTATGCTCAGTATGAGCTGCTCATCTGTCAAGCTGTGGAAAGGTATCGTGGTGGCAGGTTATGGCACAGGCCAGATCCATCTCTTTGAGGCAGTGACAGGAATTCTGCATGCTGAGGTCAACGCCCACGCTCGCTGGATATACTCACTAGACATTGCTCCTTTTTCTGGGCTGGTGAGTTGTACTGACAGTTTACTGTGGTGGCATTTATTATGAAGTGTCAAACATAGCTAACAGTGAAATACACTAGATTCATAGGCTTTCTTTTCAAAGAATCCTTGTGTGCTTTAGCTTCTATCTGCTGCTGAGGACTCCCTTGTTCGAGTGTGGCACCTGACTGTGACCCCAGAGACCAACAGTGTGGAGGTAACTGCTCTTAAAACAGAACAAATCTTTTTTTTTAAGTCTACAATCAAGGAACAATTTATCTATCCTCCACTGTAAGTTATATCAGGTGGTTTTTCCTTTTACTGTCAATGAAACCCTGGCTGTGTGTTTTTCTCATTCCCTCATAGGTTGCCCATTTGCACAATGAGTGTGTGACAGACACACAAATCTGTGGCGCCAAGTTCTGCGATGGCGATGGTTATGCCTTTGCAGTAACAGGCTATGACCTGAGTGAGATTATCCGCTACACACAATTGTAAACTGTTGCCTTTATTAAGGCTAGGTAAGAAGAATGTGAATTTGGTACATTGAACTGTTTTTTTTTTAAATAATACCACCCACAGAGAGAACAGAGTAACAAGTGATGCATACAGCATTATGTTTTTTGGGATAAGCATCATTTCATACATGTGTGTCAACAAAGGCTAGAAAGACATTCTATTAAAGTAAAGGGGTGTTAGGGTGATTTTCATTTTTAGATAGAAATGAATATACATAGTTAGTTGAGTATATCATTCTATGTGTTCACTGAATCACTGGTCAGTATTTACTGTGTTAGCCAACTGGAGCACTGTTTAACATCAAGGGGACTGGTTCACTAAAACACTGACTCTCATTAGATTTACAGCTTTAGCAAAGAGGGTCCACAGTTAATTTATTATCACCACCTGGCTGAAGAGGCCAGGGAATTTGGGGTCACTGGGACACCAAGGGTAATAAACAAGAGACTAGATCTAAAAGTCAGGAAGAGGAAGACAACTTCAAAGGCAGGGCAATATACAGACACACACAGGCAGAGCAGTTTTATTGGAAAGCAATGTCTGAAATCTAGCAGTTAGTTGGAAACAAAGGAAGGCGTAAGTGTCTATGTAGAGATTAAGAAAGGGTAGGTGTTCCTCAGTGACGTGCGGTGAGGTTGACAGCTGGTGAGGCACTGTCAGATTTACAAATACAAATGAACCGTTAACAAATTGTCTGTTAACAGACAATGCGTTATGTTTTATATCTCATATCAGCCTTCTTCACACAAACGTGACCCATATTTAATTTGAGGTTAAAATTTATTCCAATTGAGCTTATTTCTAACTAGAAATAATAAAAGTTTATGGTCTTACCTTTACTTGTACACGAAATCCATTTGTCAGCTGGTATGTATTACAAACCCTTTTACCGTTCGAATCCAATATTAAAACAAATGTTTTCAATAAAGAAGATCCTTCTGGACAAAAATGTCCAGACTGTCAAAAATGTTTTGATTGAAAGTCCAGATTTGCGAATTTTCTCATCTTGGAAATGTAATCTTTCATTTTGATAAGGCGGATTGTAAAGGAAATATAAACAA